TTAAATTATTCAAACTAGGAAGAAATTGTATAGGACGAGATTGTATCTGACGACTAGAGCTACAACTTTTATCTGAAACATTTTTCGATAGGACAACGAAAAGATTTTGCAATAAGTATATTTTTATGTATTGATTAATTACTGACGCTAGTGAAAAATATGTGAAACAGAAGTTGTAGTCACTGCTATTGCCTGCAAGAAAGGTCATATACACTTTTCTTCTGTCTCGAATACTTCAGGCCTAATCGAGTAATTAGTTCGTCCATCGCCAATCATTCCTTAACAAGCAGAGTTAAAAGGAAATTTCATACAATAAAGATTTTATGCATTTTTCTTCTAACTCCAGTATTTAACGAGTTAAGTATAAGTAATCGGTACTTTTTGAATTTGGAATGCAGTAGAGGAAAGAGAGGAAAAATGGGAGGTAAGATATAAAGGAGAGAGAGACAGAAAATGGTATCAAAACTGTATTTAAATTTGTATTAAGATACAGAGTCATTATTAGTAACTGAGACCTGGGTTTCACCATTCCTCAATGCATGCCACATGGTCGAAATTCCTCAAATCTTACAACACTGTATCTGGGAGATCTGGACATTACGCACTCAGTATACGAAGATCTGAGAAATATAGATATTATGCACTCAGACTACGAGATGTTTTAAAGTTCTTAGGCTTGATATTAACTAATGAGAAAATGTACGGGAATGATGGGTCATATTATTAAAAATTGTGCACTATTTGGTTGTAGAATCTTATTAGCCAAATTACAAAAATGAATTACCAAAATTCTGTTTGAGTCTTAACGATGCATCAACGTTCATGTCACATTTATTACCTATTCTTTATATTACTTTAAACACTAAATATCGCATATAATATATACATATGGTATACCAAAATGTACAGACACGCACGTTTTAAACAGTACTTAAATTTTTAGAAAGACCGAAGATCAATTTAGTAATGGTTCTTCATATTCTTCTCCCAGCTGCGACTTGTAAAATGCTTTCAAATAATTGGGCAGGTGAGAGAAACCTCTACGCTCCAAGTCTATCACGTACAATAACATTAAACGAGAGGCCTCCGGGACGTCTTCCTTGATCAATATTGTCCTACACGTCAATATTAACTCCTTAACAGGCTCTTTGTAACCAGTTTGCAAACGATTGCCAAGTTTAACGATCTGAAACGTAATGAAGTAAAATAATTAAAATATTACAACGAATATAATCAAGATTCCAGCTTCGGATACGTACCATTTCCTTGAACAGTTTGATATCCTCGACGGAATGCATTTCTAGCAACATTTCCATATAACTCACCAGTGCATGATAGATCACTCTTGTCTGAATTTTGCTATGTAATGTATATCTAGTGAGTAAGAAAACTACACTATAAAATTCGGTCGGATCTTTTCGCCTGAGTTCCTCTCTCCCTAAAACATAACACATGAAATAAAAGATTATTACAGCGTTAGAGTATATACGTTATTATC